GCGTAGGATACTTGAGAGTGCTTAAGGCGGCCTCCAACACGAATCAATCCATTTTCGTCTAAGAAGGGGGAGAGAGACGCGAGACGAGAGGAACAAGGTTTTCCATCTTTCAATCTAGAAATATCTTCAGAAAAGACAGTTTGCTGAATCATTTTACAGATAGTGATTGTTGCTTTATCAAGCTCTTCAAGCTTTAAAAACCCTGATTCTTTAACCTGGTTTGTAAGGTTATTTTTGAAGCGTAGAACGTAAGCAATGACTCGCTGGAGGGTTGACCAAGATGAAAACCTGTTGAATAAGTCTGGTTTTTTAGTTGTAACCATTATTGGTAAAGGTTCGATCTTACGTTCTGGCAATTGTTCGTCTTGGAGAGGGGTGAAGCGAGGAATAGGCCATGATTCCTGATCCAGAGATAACCAATTGGGACCGTTCCACCATAAACTGTTGTCTTTCATAGAAATGGGAAGGGTTCCTCTACTGGCAATGTCAGCTGGATTACAATGAGTTGAGACATGTTTCCATATGTAAGTAGGAGTAAGTTCTTGAATTTCTGAGACTCGATTTGCAACATAAACTTTTAAGCGGTAGGGTACAGTTTTTATCCATGACAAGACTACAGATGAATCACACCAAGCATGTAATTCGTTGACAAGATAATCTTGAGAGAGTAGAGAGTTGCAATAGTTCAGGAGTTTGGACAAAAGATGGGCACCACACAATTCTAGTCTAGGGATGGAGATCTTCTTAAGAGGAGCTACTCGAGCTTTGGCAATTAACAGATGTACGTTGATTTCTCCGGAAGAACTTACACATCGCAAGTAGACACAAGCTCCGTAACCTGTTTCAGACCCATCACAAAATCCATGTAAACTGATATGAACAGCATCAGCTACGGAAACATATCGAGGTAAGCTAAGTTCACTTAAGAAAGGGAGTTGTTGGAGGAACTTAGACCATTTTTCAGTTAGATCCGGAGGTACAGGCGCATCCCATGATAAACCTAGTGCCCATAAAACTTGTATCAACGCTTTTACCCAAAGAGTGACTGGAGTCAACCAACCGTTTGGATCAAATATTCTGCTAACTGTTCCAAGTATACCTCGTTTAGTGGGAGGCGTGTCTGGGATATTCAACTGATAAGAGAAAGTGTCTGAGTTAGGTGACCATTTTATACCTAGTACCTTGAAATAAGGTTGATCTGAGGAGTTGAAATATAGAGGAGTTTCTTTGTAAGAGTCGGGGAGAGTTTCCATGATTTGAGGGCAGTTGCTAGTCCATTTCCTCAGTTCGAAACATCCTTTTAAAAGAAGTTGTTCCACCTCATTTCTTAGTACCAAAGCTTGTTCTATGCTGTTGGCACCTAATATTAAATCATCTACATATACTTGTTTCTTTAAAGCCTCAGCTGCCAGAGGGAAGTTTGCGCCTTCATCAGTGATAAGTTGGTGAAGTGTCCTTAGTGCCAAGTAGGGTGAGCAGTTGAATCCAAACACAACTGTAGTTAAACGGTAAACTGAAAGGGGGTCGTCTTTGTCATCTCTCCAATACAACATTTGATAGTTTCTATCATCTGGGTGGATCATTATTTGACGAAACATTTGTTTGATGTCACATGAGAAGACAATAGGGGAAAGTCTAAACTTTAACAGAATATCATTAAGATCATTATGTAGTTTTGGCCCGGTATGTAGAATATCGTTAAGGCTGACACCTGAGGAGCTGCGTGCGCTTGCATCGTATACTACACGAAGCTTGGTGGTTGAGGAATCTACTTTGACAATAGCATGGTGAGGTAAGTAAAATTGTTTATTATCACTGTTTGGAGGAGGGTTAACAGGTTCCATGTGACTAGATGACAATAAATCATGTATGGCTTTACTATACTCTGCTTTAACTTCAGGCTGACTTTCTAATTTTCTTTCAAGTGATAGGAATCTATTACGAGCGCAAAATGATGAGTCACCAAGAGGGGGATGATTTTCTTTTATGGGTAGCCTAACAAAGTAGCGTCCATCTGAATCCCTAGAGACCGTGTTTAGAAAGTGATTTTCACAAATTTCTTGTTCAGATGTAATATGATGTTTGATGGGAGGTTCCTCTAGAGTCCAAAATTTCTGCAGAGAATTGTGCAAATCAATATCTTGAGTACTTAATAAAGAAGAAAGATTACCCTTGCATTGAGGGGCTGTTTTGTGAGGGACTACAGCAGGAAGAGTTGGGGCAGATCCTATGATAAGATATCCAAATACAGAATTCATGGCAGCAGGAAGATCCTTGTTAAGGATAATGCGTTCACCAGTGATCACTTTAGCGAATAGATCAGCACCTATGAGCATATCTATCTTACTAGGCAGATGAAAAGTTGGATCAGCCAGGACCAAATGTTTGAAGTATTCTTTAACATTAACTGGAACTTCTGAGTGTGGGAGGTTTGAGGTTATTCTGTCTAGAATAAGGACTGGGTTGTTATCAGCAATCATTTCTCCGCTAAGAGACGATATGTTAACTTTTGACACACCTTTAGATTTAACTTCTACTGATGATAGGCCATCTATCTTGGAATTACTGGAAAATGTCCGTTTAAGCATAAGCAGGTTAGCAATATTTTCTGTTACGCAGCTTACCATAGATGCGGAGTCAATAACGGCTCGGGCTACAACTGTGTTACCGTTATTAGCTTTCAAGTGTACCAATGCAGTGGCTAGCAATATAGTGGTATTAGGGTTGGAGGAGACAGCTACAAAGGGAGGTTCAGGGTGATCAAATGTTTTATTCATTTCCTTGGGCATCGGACCATTATCTTTAGGCTTTTGATTAAGCTTATCGTTAGGCCTATTATTAGTTTGATGTAAGAGGGAGTGATGTTTCAGTTTACAGTGAAAACATGTTTTATTTGACTTACAGTCTTTGACAGAATGAGCGGTACCTAAGCAGTTCAAACAGAGGTGGTTTTTCCTCACAAAATTGTATCTTTCCTGTACGGACAAATCTTTAAACTCTGAGCATTGGTAAATGTTGTGATCACTTTTACTACAAAATGTGCATGTGGCGTTTGAGTCTCTGAAAGCTAGTAAAGTAGTGCGGTTCGGTGTAGACTTATGTAGGCCTATCTGAGAGGAGTGAGGGCTGGACCTCTTACTATTTTGAGTGAAACCTACATTGCTTGAAGTAGTTCTGGGGAACTGAGAGTTAGAGAGGTTAGCAGCTTCTAAGTAAGCACATTCATTTTCTAAAAATGTTATTACTTCACCTACGGTTGGTAGGTCTTGAGAATTAACGCGTAAGCTTTCAAACTTTTTGCGAATGTCTGCGGGTAATTTCCTTAGTAACATGGCTGAGAGCAAGATATTATCCTTGGCTATGTCATGATTGAGTGCAATGAGTGCTTGGGCATTTTCATTATACTGAGAAATGAACGAGCGAATGTTCTTGAGGGAGGAGTCAATTAGGTTAGGTAAGTCTATTATGTTGTTGAGGTGTATACTTATGATTTTCCTACTGTTTTGATACCGTTTTTGAAGAAGATCCCATGCTACATCATAGTTTTCAGCTGTGATTGGTAAATTCTTTATAAGATTGAAAGGTTCTCCCTGTAGAGTAGAAAGCAGATATTGAAATCGCTCAACTTTGGATATGTTTTCATTATCATGAACAGATACTTGAAACAGGCTAACATAAGATAACCATTGTTCCGGTGAACCATTGAAAGTTTTGAGAGATAGAGGAGGGAGTTTTAGAGAGTGGCTATCTTGGTTTGAGGAAGAGCTACTAGGCCTATGGGGTAGGCTACTTGATGGAGTATTTGTTATTGAGTCAGTGTTTAGAACAGGCCTATGACTTGTAGGATCTTGAGAAAGGTGTTTCTTCGTGAGAGTTTGAATTCCTACATATAAGTCAGATATAGTATCTTGTAATTGAAAGAGTGTATCTTCTTCATAATCATCGGGAAGCGTGTCACTATTGAATAGTTTCTCAAGGGAGGTTTCAAATTCTGAGTATTTTCTAAGTGTTTCTGACTCTAAAAGTTTCAACTTATTTATTTGTTCTTGGGACAATTCAGGTAATAAATCTAAAGCTTGGATGTTAGTTTGGATTTTGGCTAAACGATTTGCAATTGAGTTTAATTGCCTAGAGAGGGTGACGAATTTCATTGTTTAAGTGTTTGGGAACTAGAATGAGAGAGAGAGATTAGAGATTATCATTATTTTCTGCAATACGAGACACAGATAACAGATGGCATTGTTACATTAGCGCTATTAATGGTGGCTCTGAGCATTAAAAATTACCAAATTGTACAGTTTGATACAAATTGAAATGTCAATTAATAAATTACAACAAAAACAATATGCATAAAATAGAGGAATCAAAGTCCTTTAGATATTGACCTTTTAGATCTACAGTAGTCTTGATAGTCTTCTTACTTCTTACTGATGAGAAAGGAGTGAGTAGTTCATTTTTAAGGTTGCAAGTTGGAGTTTGAGTAGAACTAATTGTGACTTATAGTTACCAAAAGAGCTGAGTTTCAGATGATCTACGGCCGAAGGACCATGTAGAATTTCGGTAGCGTGTGGAGTGGACTGTATTTATAAGTTGAGTTTGATTCTTCAAATTAGAACACTGAGATACAAGAGTAATAGTTTTAATATACAAATAAACTTTCAATGATTTTACAGAACAGAACTTTAAAGAGAGATTACAAAAGAGAGAGGGATCTTCATCTTGATGTGTTTGTTTTCAACTAACAAATTACTAATACATTATTTCATTGTTAAATCCCATATGTTGTTTTAAACATTAAAACAAATTAAAAACCAATGCCATCTGTATTTATTTTTAGTTGATAGAAAGTATTATTATAACAAATCACAATTAATTACACTGAATACTGAACACTTTCTTTTCTTCTTTGCGGGCTTTGGTTCTTCCTTAGCCTGTTTGTTCACTCCTCCTTACTGTCCGGCTGCACTGTTACCCTAGATGGTCGTGGGTGCTTGTGTCTCTGTAGCTTGTGTGTCTTAATGGTCCCCGCTGGGGCCCTGCACATGCACCTCTGGCCAAACGTCCTGTAAACATATTTGCACATACATTAGTAAAATGTATTTCTGGCTTGAACTCATAGTGAGTACTTCTCAGTTCCAACTAAATAATAACCAGCTAGACTAGTTCATGGAAGGGATCTTTGTTTGAGATTATCCTCTAATATGAGACGTACAATCTAAGGATTAAATGTCAAGTAAATATATCAATTTACTTGAAGTTTAATCTTTAGATTGTAAGAAAATAATCATTGGAAAACTCAAAAATATAAGTCTAAAAGTCTGTATTTTGATTATGAGTAACCACTCATAATGCTATGATACATAATATTATGCCAAATTTCCGTATTTAAATCTGAAATATTTCTGTTGGCAGACCCCATGCCATTGCTTTTAAATACATAGCATTAATAATATCCAATATATTACTGTTTCATCGAACATCGTTTTTGGTTTTTATGATACTCTTTACATGATACTTCCATTCTTAAACTCAATCTTTTGCGAAAGCTTTCCTAAGAAATTAAACTACACTTTTAACGCTTGTAATCTCAATCAATATGGATACTCACGTCCAGCTCCTCGTTCGCAGGGTAGAAGATTTGGCTGTCGCTGGACGAGGAGCTGACGGAGGGGCTTGGTGTCGGGGCGGGTGATGGTGGTGGGGTCGGTGCAGGTGCAGGCGGGCGCTCTCTGGTCATCCAGAAGTACCCCAGCGAGGCAGTGCAGCCGGCAGCGAGCAAACAGAGGATCGGGTGGTCCCTGAAAATGTATTTTTTTAAATAAAGACAACCTTTTTTATCGATTCAATTACTAGATTTAACTGAGGGTGCATGTAAGTAGTGCATAGTTCGTCCAGTAACATATTGTTGGTAACAAATAAAAAGATCGCCACATAAGATTCTCCAAATACCATGTGTTCTATTTCCAGTAATGAGGCTTTAATTATGAGTATAAACAGACTATGAGTGCAAAATTGACCCTATAAAACATTAAAAAAATATCAAGTGCAAGAAACAACAAGACTTAGTTTCTTAGCTATAATTACATACACTATTATTACACCATTAAAATACACTATTATACTATTATTAATTATAATACAAGGAATCAAAATTACTCATCCAATCATTCGTAAATGCCATTAGAATGAGTTAAGTTGAGGAGATTGAAACTGCATTATGTTTAGTTAACAGTTTGTTATGAGTCATTTATACTCAATACAACTAAAACACACAAACAAAATTATCCTAATATCTTACAATACTACAAACATCCTACAAACACGTTTTTTAATATTATAAGACAATATGGTACACCAAAATATAATACTATCTTTCTTCTCTTTGTGGACTCAAGGAGAGGAAATTTCCAAATGAATAAATCGTGTAATTATCTTTAATGAAACAACATAATTAAAATGTACATTATAATATTGATAAAATCATTACTCACCGAACAAAGTTAAGGACCATCATGAACGTGGAAAATTAGAAAATAGTATATAAGCAGCAGATAAAACTTGTAAAAATAGAGGCTATAAAAATATGCTAGTAGTTCCAAAGGTTGTAGAAAATACTCTGACCTGATGGTTACCATTGATTTGATAAAGTTGTAAGTAATAAACTTTGTTACCTATATTGGACCTTTGATTGAACTCAATTTGGGAATAGATAGATATTTTAGCTATTCACATACTGTAGGCTGCTACACATAAATTCGTGTTGGATACAAAATCCTGAGCTAAGTCCATCTTAACAGATAAATTCAAACATTTGCAGGTGAATTTAAAAAGAGATGCACCAATCTTTCATACCCTGGGATATTTGTTTAGAGCTTGTTGTAAGCTGGCCACCATAGAGATCCTTCATACTAGAAAAAAAATTGGAAAGTTGGTGCTAAAAAGACTATTGTCTGACAACACTAAACAAACGGTCAGGATAGATAAGCCAGTATTTGTGTGTTTACTTGCCTTAGTAGACGTAGTCGGATTGTATCGGTACATTTCCAAACACAGACGTGGATTCTTTTTGAAAATTACTTTCTTCTATAAAATGTTGTACACCTTTAGTATTTTATTTCTCTTTCAGTAATAAATAAATTTTGATCTTACTTTTCGTCTGCAGCGACAGCTGTGATTTTTATTTGTATTTTTGTTTATTTTGAAATTAATGAAATGAATGTAAATCGTAAACTTAAAGAAAGTTTACGATTTACATTCATTTCATTAATTTCAAAATAAACAAAAATACAAATAAAAATCACAGCTGTCGCTGCAGACGAAAAGTAAGATCCAAATTTATTTACAGTATTAGCCAAAATAAACAGTACTGAAATACTTTTAATACTTTTAATGGTAATACTTTTATTTTATGTATAAATTTTAACAATACATATAAGTCAAAGGAAGCAAAATCGGCTAAACACGGGTAATAACATGTTCAATATGAGCCCCGTTCAGTTTGAGGCAACACTCGTACCGTTCTTGTAGGTTTTGCACCATTTTTATGAATAGGGGTTGTTCCATTCTCCTAATACACATGGTTATTTTTTCTTTGAGTTGAACGATGGTAGATGGTGGGTCCTCACGGAAGATGTTTTCTTTCAACATTCCCCACACGTAAGCATCCGGTGTTGTAAGATCGGGGGAGTGGGCTGGGTAAGGAAAGTTTGTTCTAAGGGAGATGAGACCATTGCTTGGACCACCCGCACGTCCAATTCCGTATGAGCGAAAATAATGCTCTACGATAAAAGTTTTTTCTAAAGTTGTTAGCACCATGCTAACAAAAACTAACCCCAAATAAGAAAGAAGTAATGAACGCAAAGCCGTGGCAACAATCACCTATTGAATCAGCTGATCGAGAAGGCAACTACAGCTGATTCAGTTTCAGTAGTGTTTATTTTGGCTAATACTGTATTACTGAAAGAGAAATAAAATACTAAAGGTGTACAACATTTTATAGAAGAAAGTAATTTTCAAAAAGAATCCACGTCTGTGTTTGGAAATGTACCGATACAATCCGACTACGTCTACTAAGGCAAGTAAACACACAAATACTGGCTTATCTATCCTGACCGTTTGTTTAGTGTTGTCAGACAATAGTCTTTTTAGCACCAACTTTCCAATTTTTTTTCTAGTATGAAGGATCTCTATGGTGGCCAGCTTACAACAAGCTCTAAACAAATATCCCAGGGTATGAAAGATTGGTGCATCTCTTTTTAAATTCACCTGCAAATGTTTGAATTTATCTGTTAAGATGGACTTAGCTCAGGATTTTGTATCCAACACGAATTTATGTGTAGCAGCCTACAGTATGTGAATAGCTAAAATATCTATCTATTCCCAAATTGAGTTCAATCAAAGGTCCAATATAGGTAACAAAGTTTATTACTTACAACTTTATCAAATCAATGGTAACCATCAGGTCAGAGTATTTTCTACAACCTTTGGAACTACTAGCATATTTTTATAGCCTCTATTTTTACAAGTTTTATCTGCTGCTTATATACTATTTTCTAATTTTCCACGTTCATGATGGTCCTTAACTTTGTTCGGTGAGTAATGATTTTATCAATATTATAATGTACATTTTAATTATGTTGTTTCATTAAAGATAATTACACGATTTATTCATTTGGAAATTTCCTCTCCTTGAGTCCACAAAGAGAAGAAAGATAGTATTATATTTTGGTGTACCATATTGTCTTATAATATTAAAAAACGTGTTTGTAGGATGTTTGTAGTATTGTAAGATATTAGGATAATTTTGTTTGTGTGTTTTAGTTGTATTGAGTATAAATGACTCATAACAAACTGTTAACTAAACATAATGCAGTTTCAATCTCCTCAACTTAACTCATTCTAATGGCATTTACGAATGATTGGATGAGTAATTTTGATTCCTTGTATTATAATTAATAATAGTATAATAGTGTATTTTAATGGTGTAATAATAGTGTATGTAATTATAGCTAAGAAACTAAGTCTTGTTGTTTCTTGCACTTGATATTTTTTTAATGTTTTATAGGGTCAATTTTGCACTCATAGTCTGTTTATACTCATAATTAAAGCCTCATTACTGGAAATAGAACACATGGTATTTGGAGAATCTTATGTGGCGATCTTTTTATTTGTTACCAACAATATGTTACTGGACGAACTATGCACTACTTACATGCACCCTCAGTTAAATCTAGTAATTGAATCGATAAAAAAGGTTGTCTTTATTTAAAAAAATACATTTTCAGGGACCACCCGATCCTCTGTTTGCTCGCTGCCGGCTGCACTGCCTCGCTGGGGTACTTCTGGATGACCAGAGAGCGCCCGCCTGCACCTGCACCGACCCCACCACCATCACCCGCCCCGACACCAAGCCCCTCCGTCAGCTCCTCGTCCAGCGACAGCCAAATCTTCTACCCTGCGAACGAGGAGCTGGACGTGAGTATCCATATTGATTGAGATTACAAGCGTTAAAAGTGTAGTTTAATTTCTTAGGAAAGCTTTCGCAAAAGATTGAGTTTAAGAATGGAAGTATCATGTAAAGAGTATCATAAAAACCAAAAACGATGTTCGATGAAACAGTAATATATTGGATATTATTAATGCTATGTATTTAAAAGCAATGGCATGGGGTCTGCCAACAGAAATATTTCAGATTTAAATACGGAAATTTGGCATAATATTATGTATCATAGCATTATGAGTGGTTACTCATAATCAAAATACAGACTTTTAGACTTATATTTTTGAGTTTTCCAATGATTATTTTCTTACAATCTAAAGATTAAACTTCAAGTAAATTGATATATTTACTTGACATTTAATCCTTAGATTGTACGTCTCATATTAGAGGATAATCTCAAACAAAGATCCCTTCCATGAACTAGTCTAGCTGGTTATTATTTAGTTGGAACTGAGAAGTACTCACTATGAGTTCAAGCCAGAAATACATTTTACTAATGTATGTGCAAATATGTTTACAGGACGTTTGGCCAGAGGTGCAGGTGCAGGGCCCCAGCGGGGACCATTAAGACACACAAGCTACAGAGACACAAGCACCCACGACCATCTAGGGTAACAGTGCAGCCGGACAGTAAGGAGGAGTGAACAAACAGGCTAAGGAAGAACCAAAGCCCGCAAAGAAGAAAAGAAAGTGTTCAGTATTCAGTGTAATTAATTGTGATTTGTTATAATAATACTTTCTATCAACTAAAAATAAATACAGATGGCATTGGTTTTTAATTTGTTTTAATGTTTAAAACAACATATGGGATTTAACAATGAAATAATGTATTAGTAATTTGTTAGTTGAAAACAAACACATCAAGATGAAGATCCCTCTCTCTTTTGTAATCTCTCTTTAAAGTTCTGTTCTGTAAAATCATTGAAAGTTTATTTGTATATTAAAACTATTACTCTTGTATCTCAGTGTTCTAATTTGAAGAATCAAACTCAACTTATAAATACAGTCCACTCCACACGCTACCGAAATTCTACATGGTCCTTCGGCCGTAGATCATCTGAAACTCAGCTCTTTTGGTAACTATAAGTCACAATTAGTTCTACTCAAACTCCAACTTGCAACCTTAAAAATGAACTACTCACTCCTTTCTCATCAGTAAGAAGTAAGAAGACTATCAAGACTACTGTAGATCTAAAAGGTCAATATCTAAAGGACTTTGATTCCTCTATTTTATGCATATTGTTTTTGTTGTAATTTATTAATTGACATTTCAATTTGTATCAAACTGTACAATTTGGT